TAAATGAAATTCCGAACATATTTTTTTGTTGTTGAAAGCTTTCTTTGGAAAAAGGATATGGTTAGGTTCCTTTTAATTTAAATAGGTACCAAATGTTACAGGAATCTCATTGACTCTCATTCAATTAAAACTTGTATAACCATTAAATATTCACGGCATTTCTCCTTTTTTATTTCTTGGCAACAAGAAATTAATTTTTTTTTTTTTTTTGTGATTAGTAATAATTTAAAAGAATTTGATTAAAAAGGGAATAGAGAATTATTTTAAATGTAGATATCTTTTTCTGTTTGTAATACGAAGAATATGAAGAGTAGGATAATATAATAAAATTATTTAATCAAGTTTTTTTTTTTTTTTTTTTAATATTACAAGTAAGGTTAGTATTATGATTTGCGAAAAATTTTTAATAGATAAAAAAAAAATTTTTAATTTTATTTTTATCATAAATACAGGAAATCAAACAGGTATCGAACAATTCAACCTTTGTTGAGTATTTGTGGTACAAGTACGACATTATTGATTATCTAGCACCCAAAAAAAAAAGAGATCTAAATTGTTACAAAAAAAAGGGTTGTACTGTGCGCTTTGTGCTTAGCTGTAAAGACTTTGGGCGAAAAAAATGCAAGCAAGATCCTTCATTCTTTTGAAAATTAATTTGATTAGAACAAATTGGTAAGAAAAAAAAATACTTGTTTGTAAATCCCCTGAATTTATGGCTGAACATCTCTCTTAAGGATATAATTGAAACAAGGGGTACTATTTAACTTGATAAAATACCAACCAACCCAAACGAGTGATCCAATTCCTTTGATTTTCAAACCGATTTCCTTACTAGAAAAACGTACATTGCGAGCTATCGCATTTTTGCATTTTACTGTGAGTTCGCGTGTAAATAAGCGAATCCTGCAATTCTGCATTTGCGTAGAAAACAAAAAGGAACTCTTGAATTAAAAAATCCAGGATTTGCGAGCTAACTAAATTTACGAGGAAGATTGATATGCAGTAGATCCAACACGAAAAAAGAAAAAAATGATTATTATTATTATTTTTTTGCCCACGCTAATATTTAGAGATTGCGTTTTTTGTATGCTCCGTGTACAAAATATTACAATAAATGCATTTTGATGACATAAAATTTAAGCTTCTTTTTGTGTATGTGGGGATTTAAAGAGGCTTTTTAAAGTTATACAAAGTATGTGGCCGTTATGCACATCAACTTTGTACTCGTACTCCATCATCCTCGATCGGAAATAATTTTGATTGTGAGCCTGCGCCAGCAATTCAAGAAAGGTCTAGCTTAAGGTTAGAATTCATTTATATAAATTTGGTACCCTAATTACTATATTAAGGGCCGCAGCGGGACCCATTTTTTTTTTTAGACAGTCGAATGCCTGAATTGTATTTTGAATAATGCACCTTGATCACCATTAAATGTCACAGCGTTCATCCGTCGCTCATACTTCCTCTCTTTACATGGTTTAGTTTCAACTTTTACGGGAAGAGTAATGATTAAGGAAGTAGCGGAATTTAAAAATCATCATCATTTGAGCAATTTTTTATCATTTATTGTCTTGAGAGACTAATCAAACAATCGGAAATTATAACCGCGGTCAAAAAAGAAAATTTTTTTTTTTCATATTTGATAATACAGAAATTGAACTAATTCAAGGCTTCTCTAACGTTTAAAACGAAATGGAATTTCGAGGAGCTTCCCTTAAAAAGTAATAAAGTTCTTATCTCAAGGAAGAATAAATAATAATAATAATATAGTTAGGGGTGAATTTTTTTTCATTATTGAATCAAAATATTACATTTTATTTATTCTAGATAATATAAATTTATTGTGTCATAATACAGCCGAAAACATCTTTTAAATGGCTAATTCAAAAAAAAAAAAAAAAAAAAATTTTTTGAATACTTCCGAAAACAGCCTAATTTAAGTATATCACCTATGATATCATAAATCCCAATGTTTGAACAATTATAGTTTTTGAGTTTTGATCAAAAAAGGTCTTTTCTTTTTGTGCGTCGAAAAATATATATATAATTTTTTTTTATTTTTTTTTTCCCCCACATTTTCTTTTCTGTGTTTCTTCCGTTCAGAGTTGTCTTAATAATTTCTTTTAGCTTTTTCTCTCTTTGTTCACTGTTAACTTTTTCTATCACAATATTCTTTTAGCTTTATTTTTTAAGAAAAAATTTTCAAAACCAATCTACTTTTGGTAATTGAAGATATTAATAATAATAATAATAATAATAACTTTTTAAATCAAACACGTTAACAAGTTGTAGTAGAGACACGTACAAATGAATACCGAACAAGCAGCAGCAGCTTACTTTAACCAAACGGGAGCTTTTGTTCAAGCCCAGCCGCAACAACAATCAACACCACAGCCTATTCGTCTTGCGCATCCTACCACTTATCACTTGCAACAAACTCAATTGAGAAATCAGAAGCAAATCACTAGCGATGGTGCACCACCAACTCCCAACAATTCCTACCAGTCTAAAAATACTCTTTCAAACAATTCTTTTTCTAGTAGCACAATAGACCCTCAAATTTTATCTATGGGTCAACAACTTCAACAACAACAACAACAACAACAACAATATATAAACCCTATAAAACAAGAAACGGACTCTCCGGACCTTAGTCAAGAAATGGACTTTGATAATTCAAACACAGTGATGTCCCCAATTTCAAATACACCATCCCTTGGTTCTCCACCTACTCATCCTGACGCCTTTGACCCTGACGATTTCGGACGATCTTATAAACCAACTTCTCATTTAGAAAGTGGGTCACCTTTTGGGGAGTCGCCTGGTAATGCTTCAATTTATTCTTACGGTGCTGACAACTTAGACTACTCGTATCTTGAAGAATTTAGTCCAATGAGCGCTCCTACTACTACTTCTGCAATAGGTCCAATGGATGTCAAGTCAAACATGAACAATTCAAATACAAAATTCTTCAGACATCCTCACAACAGTTTCGGTGCTCAAATCAGCATGTCTCTACCAGTGCAACTTGGAAATGAATGGTTCGGAAGTTTAGATACCAATAACTTCCAACCTGGCGCTCACCCAAGCTCATTGCAATATCCTGCTACTGGTGAAAATATGCAGTTGATGGCTTCTGGTTATTTGGATTCCGATGAAAATGATAGTGCTCAAAAACAGTATGTATTCATTAATCTAAAAGTGGCTCTGTTTATTCCTTTATTCGTGCCTTGATTTTTTAATGCGGATCGGTGAATTATTTCGTTTGACAGGATGTAAAAATCTTTTTTTAAAAGAATAGTCTTATAATCTTTTCTGATTACATGGGAATATTTATCTTCCAACGTACTAATGATGTCAACGTAATTATTTTTGTAGGGCTTTGTTATATGAGAAAAGGCGTCGCCGACGCGAATCGCACAATGCCGGTGAGTCATATATATAGACGGTATCAAATACCTATTATATACCATCTTTTATTTGAAAAAAAAGAAAAAAAAACCAAATTTAAAAATGAAATTTATAAATTTTTTTTATTTATTTTCTGTTCTTAAGTTGAACGTCGTCGCCGAGATAACATTAACGAAAAAATCCAAGAACTGTCAACTTTATTACCAGACTTATATATTGATTCCGCTAATAAACCCAATAAAGGAGTGATTCTTCGCAAATCCGTTGATTACATCCGACATCTTAAACAGTTGGTAGAACAACATAAGAATCGCAATGTAGAGTTGGAATCCAGAGTTCGGGAATTATCAAGCTCAGGAATACCTATTGATAGTAATTCCGGTTCGACTTCAAGCAGAATGGATTTGAACAATTCATCATCAATTGGTGGCCTTTCTGGATCCCCTCATAATATGTCATAATGGTATTTTAAAGTTACAAGTGAAATATGTTCTTCAGAAGAGGAATCTTTGGTTTTATCATTTATTATATATACATAGTTTTCTTTTATTCTTTTACATCACTCCCAATTATATATACACTTTGCTTGTATTTTATTACTAATTTTTTTATTGCACGCATTATATAAGAGGTGTAGTGAGGCGTCGTGGAGAAATTGGGAACAAGATTCTATCATGTTTTTTTTCTTTTTTTTTTGCATCAAATGCTAAAAAATCTTCATATGTGAAGAACCAAAGAAGTGCTAGCATTTCAATGGTTAAAGAAATTTCAGGTTATATGGTTGGTTGGTTGGACATAATACTGTGAATAAAATTCTTGATCTTATTAGAGTATTTTAATGGGATAAGTTCGCTTGATGTGAACAAATATAAATATGTATAGCTCCCAAAATATACTGAATAATTTCAAAGACTTTTGTTCATGGTGAATAAGTTTTATTTGTCTTTATTATATAATATACATATTTACATATTATCTCCATTGTATAAACCCTGCGTTTTTTTTTGTTGCTTACTACCATCTAAGCAGACTTTACATACACTGCCTTTATTCCTTTTAAATATTCTTTTAAGACACTTTTTATTTTATGGCATGCTTTCAAACTTAAGCACCTATGGTATTGGTATTTTTATTTTTTTTTTTTCAATTCAATTTTAAGCGAAAAAAAAAAAGAAATGAAGCGCATGTCGGATCTTTTTTTTTTTATTTTATATATATACTTTTTGGGGGGTTTTTTTATTTTATTCTTCCCGTTAAATAAGAGCATTTTTTCTTTTTCTTTTTTCTTTTTATATATATATATAAATATTTCCTGGATTCATTTTTTTTTTCCTTTTTTTTTTTTAAAAAAAAAAAAAGTTAAAACAACTAAGTTTCTTTTTATTATTTATTTATTTTAGTTAAATACAGCGGATGATAATTTTTTTTTTTTTTTTTTTTTTTTTTTGGGTTTCTTATTTGTGAGATAAATTATTAAAAAAACAAAATTTCAAAAACATAATTTATTTAATGTAATCTTTATTTAATGTCTGTCATGAAAAAGGAAGATTCGCTAATCATACATTTGAACATCACGTGATTGTTCCTGGTTAATTTTCAGCTTTATTCACGACATAAAATTCATGATGTAATAAACTTGCACGTCTCAACAATTCTCTTCCTTGATTTTTATTGTTCACTTGTTTATTATTCTCTTCCTCTTTCTCTTCACTCAAACTTAAATTAACACCATCAGCCCAAAGATTTCTAATAGGTTCGATATCACTAACGTCAACTTCTTGAATGTGTTTAACAAAATAACAAAGTATGTTAATATCTTGAATCAATTGTGAATCTTCTAAAGAAGTCGAATGTAAATTTGATAAATTTAGTAGTGATTTGTATTCTTCTTGTGTAATTATCGGTTTACTGGAAGTGGATGGTAAAAGAGAACGAACTGACCAAGTTGGTTTTTCCGGCTTTATTAATTTTTTTTTTCAAAAAAAAATGAATTGAAATGAATTAGATAAATTTGGTTAATTTTTTTTTTTTTTAAAAAAAAAAAAAGGATATATTTACCAAAAAAGATTCATCAATTTTAATTGAATTAATGTATCGAATTTGAAAATTCATCCTTAAATGATTCTTTTTAAATAACTTTATATTATTAAAGTTTCGAAAATTTATCATTTTGCTCTAAAATGGTTTTGTTTTGTAAAATGATGATGATCATGGGCATTAATTTAAATATGTAGTTCCCATTAATTCGGAGGTTTTAATTGTGTTATGGTAAAATGCCGGGAATTTTAAGATATAAATATATTATATTATTAAAAGAACTATTATAAATAATACAAACGTTTATTTTTTTTTCTTATAAGATGTATTGAATTATTTTTGAGAATGTAATTTTTTCCAATACATTTATAAATTTTTCTTATTAAATTATCAAGAAGTTTTGATTTTTTAAAATTCATTTCATATTTGAATATATTTTTTAATTTAATTTATTAAAATAAATTCATATTTTTATAAATATGTAATTATAAATTATTAATATGCAAATTCTTAAAATCAATTCGCATATTTAATTTTTTCTTCAATTAAATTACTTATTATAATGTAATAATAAAGTAAAAGTTTTAAGTAAAATGATGATTATTTTGTCACTAAAGCTATTTTTAAATTAAATTGCTAATGATTAAGATTATTTGTCTGGTTTTAATTTAATAAATTGATAAAGATTAATAACTTTAAAAAAATTATTGATTTAGTAAAACATTTAAATATCTTTTGAATTCCTTTTTAAGTTATCAAAAAAAATTTTCAATTCTTTTGCATTCATTTATTTATAATTATTTATAATTATAATCGACCTACTAAATAATCATTTTCTATATAATCACTTTTCTCTTATTCCTTAAATTAGAGATTTGCTTGCTTATTTACTATAAATTTCTTATAAAAAATTAAAATTTTTTAAAAATTAATTTTATAAATATATATTATATCATAGTAATTTTATTTTTAATTATATAATAAATAATCTAAATTACTTATAAGCTAAAAAATTTATAATTTTTTGAATAAATTTTATAATAAAAAATTTATAATTAATCTTTAATAATCTTATTAATATTTATTTTTTAGCAATATTAATATTATAAATTTATTATGAAGAATAACTTTAATTATTATAATTTTTATGATTTAAATTTTATAATAGTAATATATCACTTAGATTAGATTATAGTATTACTAAAGATAGTTTCTATAATTATTTTCAAATTTCAATTGAGTTGCAACTTAATTATAACATATGAAAATTTAATTATGTCACAAGTTACAACTTAATTATACCAATTTTTAATTATGATATTCATCTTTAAATATTACTATATAATCTGATTATCACTTTATAATTTAATTATTACTCTATAATCTGATTTTCAATCTATAATTTGAATATTATCTGTAATTTATTGCTATTTTAAAATTGTGTAATCCTTTTACAGATCATTTGATAAAAAAATTATCAAGATTTTTTTAAGTTAAAGCAAACCTTTTTAGTAATCACTACTATACTGAGATTACTTATAATTTCTTAACAATTTTTACATTTTTAGTTATTTCTACATATACTCTACTTCAAATATTTTTTATATTTTATTAGTTATATAATTATTTAACTAAAAGTTACAATTACTTAATACTACTAGCTTTTAATATTAATTTAAATTGATAAATAATATATTTATACTATAATAATTTTTTTATTAAGAAATTACGCACAAATATTTTATTTGTATTAAATAATAGTTTTTATAACTAACATTTGAAATTTATTTTTATCTAAATCTTTAATATATTTAACAGATATATTTTATTTATTAAATACATTAATAAATTGTATAAAATCCTTATTTTCACTTTTATTTTTATCTAACTTTTTAAGAATTCTTTTATGCTTAAAACTGGAAGCTGCAATGATATATTAAAATTAGTAGAAATAAGTGTCAAAGGTTTTTTAATAATATAATATTGAGGAGATATAAACTGAATAGATTAAACAGAATATATTTTAATATTTGTGATATTTATAAAAATATCAATATAGCTAACAAATGAATTTTATTTTTTGTTGTATGTTATATAGTAAAATCCAGATAAGTTAGTACAATTTTAATTATTGTAGTTTTGTTTATCTAAAAATAAATTTTTATAAATAATATTAATAATAATTATTAAAATAATATTTAATCAGTAAATTTATAATACATTTATTCATGTTATAAGCAATTTTATCATTAATTTTAAATAAATTTTTAAAGTAATATAATATGACAAATTATCTTGAAGTTTAAATATTTAACTTATCAATTACTTTTTTAATAAAGAGTTAAATCTGATATTTTAGAAATAAAATAAAATTTTTCTTTTTCAATTTATCATCAACTTCATTAGATTTAAAAACCTTTTTCTTAAAATATGCAATTAGCTGTTAATAAAAAATAAAATAAAAATAAAATAATATAATTATAAGGTATTTACTTAAAATCATTGGGGGTGATCATCACTGGTATTACGTGACAATAATATTTATGTGACGTCGCGTGTATGACATGTGATACAATAATAGATAAATAAAAAAAAAAGTGTTACATATTTGCTAGTGTTACATATTTACTGCTCTTTCGCTCACTTTTCTTTTGCAAATTTAACATACATTCTTTTTGTATTAATGATAACGGAAAAACTAATTTAAGAAGAAGAAACTTCTTTAGAAAGTTGTTTTAACATGGATTTTTAAATTTTAAGCCTTTTTTTTCCTTGTTCTTTGTCTTTAATTTACGTCTTTTACCACTATAGATGGTAAATGTAAACTCTTATAAGTCTTGCTATTTCTTATGACCTTTGTATAGAAGTTTATGATTTATGGTTTTTTTTTACTGAAAACAATCAAACTTATTTAAGCGAAAAAAAAAGAGTCTGCTACTTTTACGGAAGGTTCTGTTGCCTTCGTTGGAAATTCTAGTAGCTTTGTTGCCTTTGCTGGAGGTTCTATATCCTTTGTAAAGAATTCTAATGCTATATTTGCTGAAGGTTCAGTTACTTTTGAGGATGATTCTGATACCAGAGATTCTGTTATTCTTGTCAGAGAATCTGATACTTCTAGAAAAGAAATTGAAAATAAAGTACAAATTAATGTTAGTGATACTTTTTCTTCATGGGATGAGGTAGACATAAAGCTCAATATATATGCAAAAATGGCAGGATTTTCTATACGTCAGAAGCACATTGAGCTTAATAATGATGGGATAGTTTGACGTCGTAGATTTGAATGCAATTTTTCTGGTAAACTAATTTCTAATCAGGTGATTGATATAAATCACCAACAGCAGCGCCCATCCAGAAAAATAATGTATCCATAGCACATTAATATTACAAATCCGAAGTCATCATCAGAAATAAGAGTTAATAGCATCATTAGACAATATAATCATCTTATGATACCCGATACATATTTATATGCTCCTAAGTACCGTTGTCTTTCAGATAATATAATAAAAAGGATTAAATTCTATGTTACCAAAGGAAATATGGGTTCAAAACAAATATATTCTTTATTGATTGCAAGTTTTCTAAATCAATATATTCATAAAAAGGATCTTCACAATGCAATTCAAAGGTTTAAAGTCCCATTTACTAACCGACATAGAGATGCACAAAATATGATCAATACGTTACTTAATTTAAAAGATCAAGAACCCAGATGGATCATTCACACAAGAATTGATCCTTTTGATAACTGACTTGTAAATCTGTTTTGAATGTTGCCTAGTCAGAATCAATGCCTTATACGCTATAACGATGTGATACAAATGGATTATATGTGTCAAACTAACTGGTTTGACATGTATTTAACAATGCTAATTGTTGTTAATAATAACACCAAAAGTCATCTTGTTGCTCAATGTTTATCAGAAGACGAAACAGTTGAAAGCTATAAATGGTTTCTTAACTGTGTTCTTCACGCAACTAATCATATTTCACTTACTTGTTTATTTTCAGATTCTGATCCTACTTTAATGAAGGCAGTGGCATCAAAGATGCCTAATACTCACCACTTTCTTTGTATTTTTCACATACAAGAAAACCTACGAAAAAATTTGGCAAGCAAATTAGGATAAGATTACAAATCTTTTTATAAAGATTTTTTACATGTTCAAAACAGTTTATTTGAGAATGATTTTTATCGTCATTAGACACGATTGATCGAAAAGTATCCTTTGTCTCAAAATTATCTTAATAGAACTTTAAATACTTCTTATCGGTCATAGATCAGGTGTTATCAACTCAAAGACTTTACGGCTGGTATTCAAAGTACATAAAGGGTCGAAGTGATGAACTGTTTGATTAAAGAAGGTACTAATATTTCATCTTCGCTATGTAACTTACATGATCAAACACAAAGATTATTAGACAATGAAGCAAAATGAGCTCGGCATAATACATATCTTCATAGTCTTTCAACCAACCAGGCACCATTAATTATCGATTTCATATTTTTCAATATTAATAAATTAATGAAACATTATCTAACTCCGCATATCCTATCAGTTCAACATCAACAAATTCTCAGGTTTTCTTTATACTGTACTAAAATTGTTTTGAAAGAAGCAATTGATATTGCAAAGGTAAGTTATATTAAAAGCAAAAAAGATGTTAGGGACGGAATTAAAAAATTAGAAGATAGGAAAACTTGACACTTACAAATTTTTATTAGAATAACGATCAGCACAACTATGGTGATAGATTCCTCGAAGATCAATTAGATAGGCCGCAAATATCCATTTTTTTCCTATTGGAAAGAATCCAGTTATTTGATATCATAGAAATTTGGAAACTTACCAGTCTTACCAAATTATATAAGCATTATGTTATTTTACTGATAGATGGTGGTCATTTATATATATGTTTGGCTATAATTAATTACAGACTTGTATGTTCGCATATTTTCCATTTGATGATGAATTCTAAGGTCACAAAATTTAACATACATCTTATTGCAAAGCGATGGTATCTAGAAAATATTCAAGATAGAGATGATCAAAATAATTTGCAATATGAATGTATGGAAATAAAAACACAATTCCAAGAAGATAGTAATGATAATCACGAATTATTAGTAGCCGATTTACATATTCTTAATCAGCTTAGAGCACCAGATACATTCACAGCTGATGTTAAACAACGCGTACAAAGAAAAGAAAAATATGTATATGGGTTTGAAAAGATAAAAAAAACTCTTAATTTAGCGCTGGATTTAGGTTGTGAAACCGAATTTATTGATATGATTAATGGATTCATCAATCGTAAGAAAAATGATATTGATGATACGAATGATGAAAATAAAGAAAATTTGAGCATGTTTGATCCTTTGGTTCAAAAATGGCGTGGACGTCCACCACATAAATGTATCAAATTGGCATTAGAAAATGTACACCATAGCACTAAAATTAGTGCTCTTAATCCACCTGATCCTAATTTACAATCTTCATTAAGAATCCCTTTACACACCTATGATGTTAGCAATCATGGACAAGATAATGATCATATGGTACTTGATAATATAGGCAAAAATACAAGCAAATGAAAATATATATGCAAAGTTTGTGAGGAATCCAGTCATAATGCTAGAAATAAAGCAAAATGTGTCAAACAGGATCAGTAATAATAATGTATTGCTTTAAATAAAAATTTGATATATATATATATTTTTTTTTATAAAATATATTGAAATACGTAACTTAGTATGATCATGTGACTTAATATGATTACGTGATATCAGTGATGATCACCCCAGTTATGGTTAGTAAAATTCGTAATTAAAATAATCTAATTTAAATAAAATTAATATCTAATTTTAATTTAAATTATGATTTAAAATTATCTATTTTCTATTTTTATTTATATTCTGAGTGATTATTATTTAAATAAAATTTAGAATAAATATTTAAATATAAATTAGATATAAATTAAATATAAATTAACTTTAATACTACTAAATTTAGTATTCAAAATATAAAAAATTTATATTCATAATATTAATAATTTATTATTATTATATTAATATATAAATAAAAATAATAAAAATAATAAAAAAAAAATTAAAAGATATATAGAAAAATTAAAAAAATAATAAGGAAAAAAAATAATAAGAAAAAAAGAAAAATAAAAGATAAAAAAAATTTAAAAAAAAAAATTATATATTCAAATTATATTACTTGATTAAGATTTTTCTGAATAATTAATATAAAATTTCTTGATTTAAAATTCTTTATTTATTATTATTTAATAATTTTTTAACTTTTCTTTTAGAATTTCTTTTATATTAATATTATAACTATTATTATCTTCTTCTATAATCTTATTATATTTTATATTATATATTATATTTGATTAATTAATATTGTCACTGTGGAATTTTTCAACTTAAGATAGTCACATTATTAAGTCTCTACTCAAAGTTTCTAACTGCAGTTTACTGCAGTTAAGATGTTAAGATCTGTCTAACTCTTAACTTTACCAAATTTACGCGTTAGAGTTAAATAAAATCTATCAAGTATGAAGACTTGAAAGGTGAGATTATAAACAATTTAATTAAAGAATTCAGATGATGAACTCAATTACAAATAAAGTGTAAGGATCACGTCAGACTATATGAAGATATAAAGAGGTAAAAAGATATAAGTTTTGAATGATTCCTTTATTAATATTGAAACTTGTATTCACAAAAGAGTTTACAAATCTGCAAAAGAGTTAATTTACAACATAAGCGAAAAGTCTATCTATTTATACAAAATTTCTTTTATCACGGCTAACTAATTATTATGCTATGAACTAACTAATTTAGTAAAATAAATATAAGTAAAATAAATATACTAAAAATAATAATAATATGTAGAATAATAAAAATATAAAATATAATAAACATAATAATAAAATACAGAATTTTAAAAATACATATAACACTAAATATTCTTAGACTTCATTTAATTCGTAATATTAGGATTATTATCAGTATTTGAAAGATCTTCAGAATTACGTAGATCCTCTGTATTTTCAGAATTCGTAGAATTCTCAGAATTTTCAGAATTCTGAATTAAGAGATCGTCATACTGTATTATCCACATGACTTCGTTATGACTGGTCAATTGCTCTGTTAACAATCCTTTCCTTACTTGAATTTCAAATGTTGTAGTGAGAAATAATTTCGTTCTTGAAATCAAGTTCTGGATTTCTATAAATTTGTAAAAAGAATTTTGCAGAATACACGCCGTATTTACACGCAACCTATTAAAGGAGAGCATGCTGTATTCATGTTATTCGCAATTGACCTTACAAATATAAGTTTTTCTAACATTATATAGGGCTAAAATTTGTTAACTTCCAGACTTATGGGACTTAAAATTCTATATAAATAGTTCGATTTTTAATGATTTTCTAATTGTGATCACATGATAAATTATTTTTCTTAAATATGACTTTTACGTGTACTGATTAAATTATTCAAAGTCTAAAAATTTTCCCAATAATATTCTAAAATAAAAATAATGTCTTCCAATAATCATTCACAAAATGATATTCAAAAGAAAGCTGAACATATGAAAACTTTTCATTCGCAACAAAGAAATAAAATTCACAAACAGTTTGCAACCTTGCAAACTCAAGCGTAAGAAGAAGAAAGAAAGAGGTTGCTTATGGGAGACAGATTAGCATATCTTGTAGCTAGTCAAAATACTCGTGAAGAACCGTTGCGACAAAGAATAAATACATTAGAAGCTGAAAACCTTCGCTAAAAGAAAGCATTTCTGAAGCAGTGGTTGTTTTACAAAGATCTGTGAGAAGGTCGAGTATTGACTTCAGTTGGGTGGTCTGGGTGGTGGTTGGGTTATCTATTTTTACTTGGTCTTTTCCTTGGAATTTTTCTTTGCTGGTGGTTCACTGGATTGGGCTAGTAATTATGGCTAGATTGTATATTTTGTTGATCATTTGTAAATAAAACTATATACTTAGTGGCTTGATATATTGATCTAATCTTTATCCATAATGTGCTTAATCTTTTTCTATATCCAGAAAATTCATTGAAATCTAATATTTAAGAAATCTGCCACAAGAAAATTATTGAACACAAATCTAAAATTAACTTTTGATCAACTGATTATATTGTTTAACTTTTCTTAATGCATAAACTATGTAAATATTGCAAGTGATTTCTTTTTCAGGAAAACTAATATTTTCATATTCTTTAATTCTCATGCATGCATTTTGTCGAACTCTTAAAATTATGCAACTTACGAAAATTTTCTGAATTTTATACTAAATAAAAAAATTTTGATCAAAAATGTGTTATGCAAATATTGTGTGATCATCTAATTTGGTAATATTGATCAACTATGCCAATTTTAAACAGGTTTTTGTTCTATAGATTTCTATGCAATGATCATCATTCAATGTGATCCAATGGATTTTTATTTATTTTTCTGCAAGAAAATAATTCTCACAGTCTTGAGAATTTTTCATAGCCACTTCTTTTGATTATAAATATTTGTCCAAAAATTTCTCCAATTTTTTACAAATTTTTCACTTTCTTCCCAAAATTATTGCAAAATTTTAAATTCCTTAAAATATTTTTAACTTCATTATGGTTTGAGTAAATAAGAAGAAGTCTGCTTTCACTTATTGTAGAGTTTTAGATCTTCAAAGAAATTATTATAGCGAAAGAGTTTTCTAAGGTAAGACAGGTATACTTAAGAATACGACCAGATACGACGATTGAGAATATATAGAATGCATCTCTTATAGGCTTATTCTGATAGACTGATATATGCAACCTATCTCTCATCTGAGGAATATGACAGTGTATTCGACCTCATTTAATATGACTGCAGCATATTAACACTTTTGCTATCTTCCTTTTACTATACTGTAGGTTCTCAAAACGTGAGTTTCTCTTGCTTAGAACTAGTTGTTACAGCCTCTATTATCTTGTATCGATATGTAGCCATTCAGAATATCATTGGGTTCATTAAGCTAACCTTTACATGAACTTGTACTCACTGGTCAAAGATGCTCAACTTCACATTTCTAATGTGCACTCTTCTTCTATTCAGGCTACAGGGTCTCGTCAAGAAGTTCAAGAAATTCGTCAAGAAAATTTTGTATTAAGAGAACAATTATTGATTTCTTTAAATCAAAATGCTGAACTTTCTGCTGAATGTGAACGTTTAAAAAATGAACTAACTAATATTTCTTCCCTTTAGTCATCAAGAGAATAGGATTCGTTCACTTAAAGAAGCATATAGAAATGTTACTCATCCTTTGAGTGATGGATCATCTAGAAAATAGAATTGTCAAATTGATCAATCTACTTTATGCTTTTTCTTTTCCTATTCGTAATAATCAATAGTTACTAATATTAATAGAAAGAGATGTTATACGCTTCAGCTGATTCATATTTACGCTTATCGTACGTTTTTAACTAATATGTGACCTACGCTCCCTTTTCTCTTTTCTATCCTATAGTTTTCTTCGAGTTTTTATTATATATCTTTTTAAAATAGTTTTTTTCTTGTTGTATCTTTTCATATTTCTGGTTTTCATGTATCTCAAATTTGTATTTCTCAGATTATTCTTGCACATTGTTGCATTTTGCCTTTTAAATTGTCTAATATTATTTCAAGAGCTACCAATTACGCTGTTGACATTTTCGCTTTCACTCTTGTTTTTCACTTTCTAAATACTAAAATAATAACTATTGTCTCTTTTGCTGATGCTATATTATTCGCTATATCACGTGATCAAGAATCTTAAAATTTTTCAAAAATCCAAAAATATTGATATAGTTAACTATAGATACTCAATTAGTCTATTAGTTAACTTTTAATTAATTAATTAGATCTATTTACAAATCTATTTACATAAATCCTTTGGCAAACTATATTACCATCCAAGGCATCCTAAACGTAACCTTTCACTTTATTCATAGGCTAAGTGATAAACCTTTTCCAAAATTCTAATATCTTGTATGCTTTTATTTATAGGCTTAGCAATAACCCTCACTTTTCATCAGGATTAGTGGTAACCCAAAGCTCTCACTTTTTTACTTAAGCTTAGTGAAAACCTTGTCTATAAAAACTAAAACTAAAAACTTTGTCCATTAATTTATAATAAAGTAAAGAAAATAAAAATAACATTTCTTCAATTATCTCGCCATCCAGTAGTCCGATTTGAATGAAACATATGTTGTTATGATCCTTAAAATTTAACGGTCCTAATGGTCTAAAAATCGTAAAATTCTGATTTGTCAAAGTCGAAATATTGACATCTGTAACTTTAGTTCTAAATTTATATTAATTATTTCTTTTATCCAATTGAGATTTAGCATTTGGTCAGGTGATATTTAGTGAACTTTGTGTGACCAAAATATTACATAAACCTTCATGAGGTCGGGAACGATAGGTACTATCTGTTGAGCCTTTATGTAACCTTTGTGTAATCTCAATTCAACACTTCATTTCCTCTATCTTCTCTCTTAAGCTTCTTTGATATTCTTCTCAGTTACTCTCAATATCAAATTATATCTGCAAAATTCATATACTTTCTTTTGTTTGAATCCTGGCAAGAATCACCACTTTTGTCATCATGGAATTCTTCAACTCGGGATGATCACATTATCAAGTCTCTACTCGAAGTTTCTAACTGCGGTTTACTGCAATTAAGACATTAGGATCTGCCTAACTCTTAACTTTACCAAATTTACGCGTTAGACTTAAACAAAATTTATCAAGTATGAAGACTTGAAAGGTAAGATTATAAACAATTTAATTAAAGAATTCAGATGATGAACTCAATTACAAATAAAGTGTAGAGATCACGTCAGACTATATGAAGACACAAAGAGGCAGAAAGATATAAGTTTTGAATGATTCCTTATTAATATTAAAACTCGTATTCACAAAAGAGTTTACAAATCTGTAAAAGAATTAATTTACAATATAAGCGAAAAGTCTATCTATTTATACAAAATTTCTTTTGTTACAGCTAACTAATCACTATGCTATGAACTAACTAATTCAGTAAAATAAATATAAGTAAAATAAATATACTAAAAATAATAATATATGTAGAATAATAAAAATATAAAATATAATAAAATAATAATAAAATACAGAATTTTAAAAATACGTATAACATTAAATATTCTTAGATTTCATTTAATTCGTAATATTAGGATTATTATCAGTATTTGAAAGATCTTCAGAATTACGTAAATCCTCCGTATTTTCAGAATTCGCAGAATTCTCAAAATTTTCAGAATTCTGGATTAAGAGATCGTCATACTGCATCATTCATGTGACTTCGTTATGACTGGTCAATTGCTCTGTTGACAATATATAGATATTTTTATAATAAAAAAAAAGAAAATTATCAAAATTTATTTTTAAATTAATATTAAATCTTAATTTTTTTACTAAAAAATAATAGTTAGCTTATAAAATAAAAATTTTTTGTTAGTTTTTTTCTTTTTTACTGCAAAATACTTTTATATATATATAACAAAAATATTCTTAGAAGTAAATAATTATAATATTGTAATTTATTATTATAATAATAAAATTATTATTACTATATTATTTAAATTATTTTTATATATGGGTTCTTTACAATAAAAAGAGAGAAAACTACCAAAAAAATTTTTTTTTGCTTAATAAGCTAAATATTATTTTTTAATAAAATAAGTTCAGATTTAATATTAATTCAAAAAAATTTTTTTGGTAGTTTTCTCCCTTTCTATTGCAAAGAACCCATATGATTAAATCAAGTTTGTAATAAAAATTTTAATTTAATATAAAAAAAATAAGAAAATAATAAATCAGAATTAATTAAAATTTATAATAATAAAATCAAATTAAATTGAAATAAATTAAATAATTTTATCTAAATATTATGAAATATTATAGACATCACAAAATCAAAACTTTTTTTATTTATTTTATTAATTTTTAACAAATAGAAGCTAAGCTATTAAAATCACTTTTTAGAATAAGAAATTAATTTTGGGTAAATGATGATTAAAAAAATACTATATCACAGTAAACATTTTCAACTAATAATAAATTGTTCTATTTTTAAAATTAAGTTAAATTAATTAATAAGACAATATTAAAATTTATTATTTATTTTATAATTTTAAAATTTTTTGCTATTATAAAATATATAAATTTTATTATTAAATTATTTTATAAGGCTAATTTTTGTAATACTTAAATTTAATTTCATAATACTTAAGATTTTATTATTAAAATTACCCTACAGAACATTATTATACTAATTTATTAAAAAATTTAATTTTTAAAAAAAATTAAAAAAATTATTTTTTATATTTATTATTTATTTAAAAAAATATTTGCTTAGGTATTAAATATTTTCAGACTTTTATTCAATTATACATTCAATTTATTAATAATGATAAAGTTAAAAAATTTTGAATTTCACTTTTTTAAATAATATCAATCATTTCTAATTTTAATTTTAGAATTTTTGACTGATATTATATAAAAAATGAAAGATTTTATCAATTTAATTGCTTGTTTTATTAATAAAATAATTGACTATAAAAATTTAATCAAATAAAGTTCATATATCATATAATAATATTAATCAAAAAATCTCAATTTTGGTTAGTAGAGTTTTATAAGATAATTTTAATAGCTTAATCCTAAATAATATGAATAATTAATTCAAATTTTTAATAGAGTTTATTTGTTATAATCTATAATTTATTAATTATTTTTCTTATATAAAACTTTTGTGACTTTATTCAATTTTTTTCTGATTGATAGAATTTAAATAAGTTTAATATAATAGCATTATTATTATTATTAAATTATATTTATATATATCATTTAATTGATTATTAATATAAATATATTAGTTATTTATATTATTCTTTTCTGATTTTTCAATTTTATTTGTAATTTTCTAAATTTATATAAATTACTTAATCACTTTATTGATTATTTAACAAAAATCAGTAATTCAATATAAGTAATTTTTGTAATTTAAGATTAATTTATATTAAATTTGAATATTTTAAAAATTATTAAAGATTTTTTTATAATTTAAAATTAATTGTTTTTAAATTTACTTTTATTTCAATCTGATTATAAATTCAGAAAGAAATGTAAAAGTTAGAAAATTATAAAATGTATAAATTAATATTAAAATTAGAAAATTAATATTAAATTATTAATAAATAAAATGGTATAAATTGGGGCATACTACAACAAAACTAGACAAAGTGAACATTGGTATTACCAAGAATTTCAGGATCAAAATTTAGTTATCTTTAATGCAATTATAATTAACAGTTTTATAATATCCCATTTGTGATATATAGAATTACCTCTAGATAAAAATAGTTAATATGAAACTCATTTACATCAGATCTACTATGGAACCCAAGAATTATAGCACCATTAGAAGTATTTTGAAGAAAGAACAAGGTAAAAAGATTGCTTCTTATATTTTTAAAATAAATGACACTCAAATGCTGAAAGCTTATCTAAGAAAAGAAAGGATTAATTATGAAATTTATTATGAAGAAAGAAAAATAATAAACATTAGAAAAAGAAAGCATTATGATGATGCATTATTACCTAATAAAAAGCAAAAATACTTAGAAGAGAAATAAATCTTATTATTATAATATTGATTTATTTTTTTACTGACAAAGAAAATTCTCCTTTATATAAATGTAATTAACAATCATCATATTGCATTGCTCATCAGTAAAAAAACATTATTGTTTAAACAAATTTTACATTTGAGAATAAATCTTTGTTTTTCTTTCATTAACATTGAAATAATCCTGCCTTATGTTGGAATATTATAAATCATTGCTGATTTAGGTAAAAAATTCAAATAACAACTCCTTCAAATAATTACTGTTAAAAACAAATAATCAATAAATATTTACAATATTTTCATTTACAATAACATTTAAAAAATGCTTACTTTCAATAGTGAATTTTTTTGTGAATTGTTAATTGGAGTTTCTTATTTTACTATAAACTTGCAAAAATCAATTTTATATTATAATCAAAAAATTGATCAAATAAATAGAACCAACTCAAAAATAAAATAAACAAACTTACTAATGATAAAAAATATTCACAAGAAATAGAAATCTATAGAAGGATATTAAACAATTATTTGACAAAAAGACTAAACTAAATCCAAACTTTTCATTCAATAAAATTGCTATTGAAATTCGTGAATTACTTGAAGGGAAAGGGTGTTGCTACTTCCACAATAAAAAACTTCTACTAACAAAAAACAAATACTAGAAGGAAAAAAATAGAAGCAATTCAACAGTGAGTTGAAAAGGAAAAGAAGAAAAGAAGTGGCAAGTGAAATTGACGAAGATAATAAAAACAATAAAGATATAAATATTAGTAATAATAATATTATTGATAATAATAATAATAGTGAAAGTCGAATTTTTGTCAGAGTGCTCAAATAATAGATAATACTTACAAACAGCTTTGGGTTTGAGTATTTTCCTTCTATGCAAGTACTCTGATGATTTTTAACTTATATTTTTCTATTATTAGTTGAATTAAAATATCTTTTTGTCGTTTAATCATTGTCAGTAAAAATAAATTTCAAGTCATGTGCCTACTAATTTATCATTGGTCGAAATTATGCACAAGAAATAATTAATTGTAACAATTACGATCTAAATCAATAAAAAAAAATTTTTTAAAAATTAATTCTACAAATCTTTTTTTTTTAATAATAGCAACTCTTATCGACAAAATTAAAGAAGATAAAAAAATTGCACTTAAAGAACACAAAAAAGCTGAGGATAAAAGTTGAAGGAATTCAAAGAAGGAGAGGATGATGGAATGTGGTTGAAGGAGTTGAGGAGAAAGACGAGAAGAAAAAAGCTTAGTGAAAAGGAAGAGAAGCAGCTGACGAGACTGGAGGAAAAAGAGAAAAGATTGGAGAAGAATGTAAATGATTGTAGAAAGCAGATGGAAAAGTTGTAGAAAGCGTTAGCCAACTTTAGAAAAGGAGAAGGTAATGAACAAATTGTGTAAAAAAAAAAATATATATTTTTCGTTCATTTCATTTCGTTTTGTTATTTACCATTATTTTATTTTTAAATAAATATTCTGCACATTTATCCTGAATTAATTTGTCCATCTTTTATATATGAAGGATTAATTGAAGAGACAGGTAAGGTCAAATTTTATGTCAAATATTTTACATTTATAAAAATGCAAACAAAACTTCATTGGTTATTTTTGTTACTATATCATTCTATTGCAGTTACTACTAGAGTCAAGCGTGAGTGGGTTGGAGATGTTATCACAATGAGGAAGAAATGATTATTTACTTTTGAACACATTCATTTGGTCAATTCTCCTTCTGTTGTTGCTGTACATAGAGTATTCCCAAAACATCAAAGAAATGCCAATATACAATGTTATCGCCCATCAGATTTAGATTATATTGGACAACCTGTTGTTTTATACCATGAAGTTTTCTCGCAATTTCTCAGAGATTGTTCAACCATTGAAGTGGATATAGAAATATGTAAAGAAGTTCTTTCTTTTGTGAAGGTTATGTTAGAATTTTACACAGATGAGAAATGTAGACAATCTGCTACAACAGAGTTTTACTCTTAGCTTTTTGGACAGTTTTTCCAGAAAGGGATTAATGGTAGTCCACAGAATAATGGATATATATTTGGGTCAAAAGTTATAAATAAAATCAATATAGATATTCCAATAGTCATCCATGATATAAAAAATGAAATTTTCACAGGTGGATGTGATCCATTTTTGCAAGCATCTATTTGTTATACAAAGTTTTAGACAGGTAAATGGGAAGAAAAGCCTAAAAAATATAAAGCAATTTTAAATATATCTGCTTGTCCAGCATTTTTATTATATTTAGCAGGACCATGGCTATGCATTTCTGGTAAGAAATATGTTATATTATATCAATTTTTGCTTATTCAATATGCTAACATTTCTTTAGGTATTGTTTTTACAGATTCTGTAAAAGTGGATAACCTTATAAATATGATTTCTATAGTCCCTATAATGGATTTCACACAGCTTACACAAATTGCTAGGATATTTACTGCCCTACGTAAATCTTTCAGAAGTCTTATTGATTATTGTACTAACTTGCAACCTAAACCTTATGATGTTGATACCAAGATCTATTTTCTCTTTCCAACTACCTTCAATGATGTACCATTCACTTATATTTCATATATTCAACCACTTGTTTTGACTGCAGAAGCTAACAACCAGAAAATTATTATTAAATTTGTTCAATGATATAATGCTGATGCACATAACTTATGTGCTAGAGAAAATGGATCACCAAATTTGCTAGAAATTCAAGATAATGTTATATTTGGATGGAAAATAATCATTATGGAAGCAGTAGGTGATAAGTATCTCAATTTAAAATTTCAACAAGTAATTTGAAATGCCTAACACTAATCTGATTTATATAGGTTGTCCTTTAAATATAATAAAAGATCTCACTACTGAAGAGAAAACAAATATAAAGAGCTACATCAAACATCTAATTGATATATTGTATGGAAATAACATAGTTTTTGGTGATTTAAGATCAAATAATGTCCTATATGATTGTGATTCAAGAAGAATATCTTTGATTGACTTTGATTAAGCAGGGAGGCATAATGTAGATAAATATCCATTATTTATGAACCATTCTGATAATATTAATTGGTCACAAGGGGTAGAAGAAGAGAAACTTATGAAAAAAGAGCATGATCTTCATTAGAGTTCTGAATAAGTCGAGTTAAATTGAGTTTAAAGACCAACTCTATTCGACTCATTTTTTTCGAGTTGAGTCGAGTCAAATTTATTTTATAAAATCTTTCAATTTGATTTGATTTGAGTTATATAAATTTTAAACTCGACTCAATTTGACTCGACTCGATTTTAACTCAATTCGATTTTAAGAAAAGATCAGGAGGGGAGAGGAGGAAAGCGAACGATTCGTCATTGTTCTTCTTAAACAATTTTTTTATCATTCAAGTCGAACGATTGTTTATCGTTCTTCTTGAACAATTTTTTTATTGTTCAAGTCAAATGATTGTTCTATCGTTCTTCTTGAACAATTTTTTTATCGTTCAAGTCAAACGATTGTTCTATCGTTCTTCTTGAACAATTTTTTTATCGTTCAAGTCAAATGATTATCTATTATTCTTCTTGAACAATTTTTTTATCGTTCAAGTCGAATGATTGTTTATCATTCTTCTTGAACAATTTTTTTATCGTTCAAGTCAAACGATTGTCTATTGTTCTTCTTGAACAATTTTTTTATCGTTCAATTCGAACAATTGGTTATCGTTCTTCTTGAACAATTAGTTATCGTTCTTCTTGAACGATTTTTTATCATTCAAGTCGAACGACTGGTTATCGTTCTTCTTGAATGATTTTTTATCTTTCAAATCGAATGATTCATTATCGTTCTTCTTAAACGATTTTTTTATCATTTAAGTTGAACGATTCGTTATCGTTCTTCTTAAACGATTTTTTTTATCGTTCAAGTCAACTCGAGTCAACTCGAATCAAGTCGAATTTAAATCGAATTGAATTAAATATTTAACTCGACTTGAATTTGGCTTAACTCGCAAATCATCGAGTCAAAAAAATATAAACTCAACTTGATTTAAACTTGACTCAGTTTATCAGACTCGTGAGTTAACTCGACTCGTCCGGAACTCTAATCTTTATTTTCTTAATACAGTCACACCTCGATATAACGAAGTTGCTGATCCAGCCGATCAGGACTTCGTTATAAGAATCTTCGTTAACG